AACGAGTAAGCCGGGCTGGTTAGTTGATTGGGTAGCTTTTCGATGTTCTTGCGTTTATTCGCCACGATCAGTGCGCCATTCCGCGCTATATGGAAGGCGCGTTGCAGTATTTCTTCCGAGAATTTTTTGAAAATTTCAAAAGCTTGCGCCGTATAGGAGGTCTTGTCGAGCGCCGAACACAACGAACTGTGCAGCACGTTAATGGCCAGCATTGTCAGCGCATCTTGTTCGTCGGCGGGATCAATATATTTCATAAGCTTCTCTTCCGTGGTCGCCATACGTTTCACGTACAGACGCTCGAACTCATCGATACTGTCGGGTATGATGAAGCGTGGTCGCAAAGCGGTAATCGCCTCTTTGCCTTTAGTGTTGTGCACCAACTGATGTAGGAAATGCAAAATGTTTATGAAATGCACCGCCAAAGCATCGCAGTACTCCTCACGCACCGTATAGACACCTTTCAGTTGTTGCAGAAAATTTTCACCATAGCGCTCCTGGATTTCGACGTTGGTCTGCAGCATGTGCACCCAAGTGGGCACCTCTGGTATATGCCGTCCTTTCTTCACGATATACTGCATGCGCCGATGGCACGCTTGCGTTGTCTTGTTGCGTATGCCCAGATTGTGTCTGATGACGTCACGACAAATTTTACCCACCACAATGAGTCCGAGTACCGGCACCGGCGCCGCTATGTATATATAAACGGCGCGTGCCAATTTCAGCAAGTCATCCTCATCCTTGCCCCAGCTGGCGCGCAACGTGCGCATGTTCTTCAGCGCATCCCGATCGATGGCATCGCGCATGGAAGCCGATTTCTTTTTGGCATTACGTTTGATTGCCACCGCATGTGGCAAGCGCTTCACGTGTCCGCCATGACCGCCGTGCAAGCGTGTCTTGCGCAAGCCCATGAGGTGCAAGTGTTTACTACTGCCATTGCGCATTAACGGTATGCGGCCCGTGCGTGTTTGCACCGGTTTCACATTCGTGCGCAGTATCCACGACCAGCTGCGCAACGCATGCGCAAACAGATGCGCCGCAAAACCGGCTGCGCCTGCGCGATCGCCAGGCACTTCACCGTTATCGTAATGTGGTGCATCGTCAAAGCTTACAGCGGGTAAAAAGTGAAAGTCTCGACGACTTTGCGACTTCTCATTATGCTTGGCACTGAGCAGGCCGAGTTTGGTATACACACAAATGCGATGCACATGCGTCCAGTACATGGTGATGTCCTCAAATGTGGAAAAATTAAAATTCAACTCTTCGTATTTGCGCTCCGTATTGACAGTGGCGAAGCTCGCTTCCGACGGTGTTGTATCGAGTATTTGTGTGCGCCGATTTAGGTACACCCAAATCATCATGGTATCTTTGAAATTTTGGCTCTCGCCCACTTGTATTAGACCCATGTGATTTAGTAGTTTCAGGACCATCGTGCAAATGCGTTGCAAGTAAATGCGATTAATTTGATTCTGCAACTCCATTGGCAGCTGTCGTATGAGATAGTGCTGGCGTATGGGGTGGGTCAAGTAATCGTCGAGCACATTGCCGCCGGTCGGCTGGAAGCGAAATATTTTGTTAAATATTGAGAGTGGCATGCGTTCGATGGCGTCCAAAAAGTTCACCCAACCGGCCGGCTTGTCGGCATACTTCGGCAGCGGCGGTATGAATGTGCGCCAGTTAAGCTCCGACATATAACTGTGCTGCACCTCGATGCCAGCATGTAAACTTTGTAAAAACTCGTTCACCTGCAGCGATGGCTCGGTCTCTTTCCAAGTGCGCAACAAAGCCTCGTCTATTTCCAGCATCTCTTTGTTTTCATTCAATTCAACTACGATATAGAAAAGAAATTCATGCATGTAACGGGATATAAGAAACTTAGGCGGGTTAGGTAACTGCTCAATGGAGGCGTTTGGCATCGTAGATTTAGTTTCGAGAGATTTTGGCGCTTTTCGTGTTAACTTTGCAGCATGCTTTCGTAACATGCGTAATTTATTCTGTTTCTTTTGCTCCTCCCGCTGCCTGGTTCGTAAGAGCATATTTTTTAAACGTTTCACCTCCCGATCCACCAATAGGTGGTCTTGATCAATTTGCGGATGTGCTACGTAATGGTATCTACGCACGTGTTCTTGATATTTTAAACGAATCTCGTATGCCTTTAAGTTGTCGGTTTTCTTCATTTCCATGAACATGCGCCGCAAGGATTTAAAGCAGATTTCATCTTTGAAACCACGCTGCCGTTCCGTTTCTTGCAATTTATTACGTAAAATAACGGTATGCATAATGCCATGCTCGTTCAGCTGTTGAATTATGAAGTCGCGGCGGGATTGCTGACGGCTGGTAAAGGTGATACGGAACGGCTTGTCCTTATGTATGTACTCCTCCACCGTGGCTTTGACTTGTGGACAGTCGACGGCCATGGTTTCGTCCAGCTGTGGTGTGGGCTGTAATGAAGCTAAATGTTAACCACTCAGTTAACGATATAAATGTACTTGGCATACCGGCATGCTGTTGAATTTGACCACTTCCGCTGGTTTTTCAACGCCCTTTTCTTTAGCCAACTTGTCTGCAGTAATCACCTCTAAGGCAACGAATCTAAGACGGACAAATTATATATATAAGTTACGCAAAAAATATTTGATTTGGGAAGTACTTGTGGATGCGTTGGCGTCCCTCATCAACGACATGTGGTACTATCAAGCCGTCACGTTGCATCGCTTTGACCATCTGACGCACCACGCAGTGCGATTCGCTGAGATAATTGGATAGCTCTGTGTGACTGCAACCGCGCGTGCCATGTCGCAAAACGGCGCGATAGAATTCCTCCTTCAGCGGCATATCCACAAAAGAATGCTTATTATCGGTGAAAGCGTCTTTGAAGCTAATTCCTGTCTCCTTTTCTTCCTCCGTAACCTCCTCCTCTATAAGCTCTTCTAAGGGTGTTTCGGGTTTCCGCAAAGTAATCGCGAGAACACTTAGCTCCTTGCCTTTTCCGCTTTTGCGTCCGGTCAGCACTTTCTGAATAAAATTATATATAAAACACAATTCACAACAAAAATATAATTATGTAGGAATGTGATCGTTTTACTTACTTTCACCTCAAAAATTCGCCGAAAGAAAGGAGTCAGTACAAGACGCCGAAATTTGGATTTACGTGCAAATATCGGAACCAAAGTGCGAAATTCTGTTAACGGTAAGTTTTGCTGTTCCGACTTCTTTACCAGCTCATAAATTTTTTCTATGAGAGTAATAATGTTTCGTGGAATTTCCGGCACGTACTGCGGTAAGTTGAGTAGCGATGTAACCACTAGACGATCACCACGAAATTCATGAAAAGGTTGGTGCGTTATCAAACCAAAGTGAGCCAATTTTTGTCTAAAAGTAATTATGTAGTAAATACTCGTCACCATAATTATTACAGAATGCTGATGTTTTTTTGTTGTAGCGGCAGAATTATGGCGAGTTGACAGTCCATGGCCGGATAAAAATCCGGGTCCGTTTCTATTACTGCTGCTACAACAACAATAGTATGCTCATATTTACTTGATATAAAAAATCACAGAGGAGTCTTTGCAAAACTGAAATAGGGAATAAGGACCAGAGGTTGTCTCCCCATTGTAGCGTGAACGTCCTACAGCTTCCCAAAAACAATATTGTACCAGTGTTAAGTCTCGTTGAATAGGTTTATTACGCGGTGTAAGCACGCAAAAACGCAATTCTTGTGAGGCCACCACTACAAAGCGTTTATCCCACCTGCAATTAATGTTTGTATTGACAAAAAACGCATATTTCATATAAATGTGTTACTCACCTTTCCAAGACACTTTCGGCATTTAAATCACTAACTTCAGCGGGTTCTATTTTCTTCCGCTCCTTATAGAATTCACACGAACCGCGTATGTCACCATCTTCAATTGGTACATATTTGTACCGCATAAATTTGTTGGGATCCTTTAAGTGGAAATAATATAATTTGGGACATTATCAGTATTAAAATTAAAATTACCAACCGGCATAATGGGTACTCCGAAATCTGGGTCTACATGCGTAAAGCGACTCTCACATTGCACAGTTGCTCTCTCCGTTGGTAGTTCGTAAAAATCTAGCTGATGGCTGTTTTGTTTGATGAAATTCCACACACGGTTCATCACATCTGATGGCAGAGGTAATTCCACACCCAAGTCGATACTTAAGTAAGCCCATAGTGCTATAAAAACAAACATTATTATGTATTTTGGGAACGGAACATTTATTTATTAAATTTCAGTACATGGTAATGTTATGCCCTCTAAACCTTCCAAAGCAATTTCCTCTAATATAGCTCTGGAAATGGGACAACGTCGGATGGGTCGAGCCATAGTTCATTGATTTTGTTCCACTATGAATTGATTTTCTCCAGACACAGCATAAAGCGCACTTAATTAAACACTTAGGCACTACACAAGAGCCGTCATCGTATACTTTGGTAAACAACTTTATTAATGTTGTTTTCTCTCTGGTTTTGGCGATACAAATCACACTTCACTATCTATTGTTTTGTTTAAGAAACTTTAATAATATGTTTACTACAGCTGTCTCAAACCATTTGCAAATGTCAGTGCCGCATATTCATATATTTCACAATGGATTTGAAACTCTCCATCTATGCTCACACACGAAAACTTTTGTTGCTTGTTATCAGCAACTTCTGGCTTGGTGTTGCCAGATATATCAAATACTGATATCTGCCAATTTTACACAACCAATAAACTAAGATGGATTTTTATATAATGAAAAATACTTGTTTTTAACATACATATATTAATAACGTTAACGATGTTAAAATAATTTTTCTTTTTGTAAGCATATTGTTTTTAATATTTGTTTGTTTATTTTATAAGCAATTGCGAATGATTACGTTTATTCACAATTTATTTGCCAGCTGTTTTATGTTTTCCTCTTCCCACAAGTAAACATTTTTTATTATCAGTTTTTATTTTGCTCAAGCAGAAATATGTTACAACCTGTAAAAGAAATAAATATTTATTATGATAAACATTATAATAATAAATCTACGTTCCTCTAATCCTCTATAAAGTGTTTCCTTCATAATTTAAGTTATACATTTCGAGCAAAAAAAAAAAAATGTCTAAATCGTCCAAACATTCTAAAAAATCGAGCTCTTTTGAAGAGGAAACGAATTTAATTAATTTTTCATTTTGCGACCATAAGTCCGTCTTCCGGCATTTGCTGGAAGGCAATGATAAATACTCGGCCTCCATTGTAGAGGATGAAACCGACTTTTGGAAATTTGTAAATAAATATGAAAGTATGTTACGTAGCGCGGGTCAACCAATACTTGGGAAACCTTTATCAGACGCTGAATTAAGTAAGCCAGAACCATATCACAAGCTCAAATATATACCATTGCAACTGGAACGCGGTAGTGACTCCGAACAACTCAGACGTGGATGTCACAATAATGATGAACGAATATTCACAAAACTGAAAGCACGACAGTTTCGAGAAATTGTGCTCATCTATCTGGATTTTAAACAAAAGGAAAGATTTACTAAAATTAAGAAATTACGTCTAGCACAAAGAAACCTACCCATCGCAAATTTCAAGCAAAAAATACAAGCTGAGCTCAAAGAAACACGAGTACTGATTATAGCTGGCGACACCGGTTGTGGAAAATCCACACAAGTGCCACAGTATTTATATGAATTTGGTTATCGTAGCATAGCGTGCACGCAACCGCGACGCTTAGCTTGTGTTTCACTGTCCAAACGGGTTGCGCATGAGATGCTTGACGATTATGGCTCTAAAGTGGGTTTTCAAATAAGGTTTGAAAAAAATAAAACCAAAAATACGAATATAGTCTTCATCACTGAAGGGCTACTGTTAAGACAAGTAAGCACACATTTTTTTACATACATAAGTTGCTCAAAACTAATATTTTACCATATGTTTTTCTAGTTGGCTGTGGAAGCTAATTTAGAGCAGTACGATGTGCTCATTTTGGATGAAATTCACGAACGTAATCTCTTTGGAGACTTCTTGTTGGGTGTCACCAAATGCCTGCTACATGCCAAACCAGATTTGAAGCTGATACTTATGTCTGCAACTATAAATGTGGAATTGTTTCATAATTACTTTAAGAATGAGGGAGCAGCACTAATTGAGGTGCCAGGCAGATTATATCCGATTAAAACCATGTTTATGCCACCACCAAGCTTGGAACTGAAAGGAGGGACAGGCGGCAGCAAAATTGCTAAAAGCACGAATCGCTTAGATCCCGCACCTTACATACAAGTGTTAAGCTTGATTGATCAAAAATACCCAAGTGAGTGAAAGTAGCTATTAACTAAAAATTATATTTGGATTTAATTCTACTTCGTGTTACCTAATGCCATCATATATGTATATTTTTTTAGCAACTGAACGCGGTGATGTCCTAATATTCGTTAGTGGCGTAAACGAAATTACAACGGTTTGCGATGCTGCCAAGGAATATGCTGAGCAAAACTCACATTGGATCATATTACCGCTGCACAGTGGCTTGGCGCTAGCTGATCAAGATAAAGTAAGACTGATAAATAATTAAAAAAGTTATATGTATCTAAATGTAATTGTGTTTCATAAACAGGTATTCGACTACGCACCGGAAGGCATGCGCAAATGTATAGTGTCCACAAACATAGCAGAAACTTCACTCACCGTCGATGGCGTGCGTTTTGTCATCGATTCTGGGAAGGTGAAGGAAATGAGTTACGATTCGAGTTGTAAAGGTCAACGCTTGAAAGAGTTTTGGGTATCAAAATCCTCAGCCGAGCAACGTAAAGGTCGTGCTGGACGCACAGGACCCGGTGTAAGTGTTAAAAAATAAATAAATCTTATATGCAAGTATATACATATATGCGTGTTTTGCAGACTTGCTTTCGCCTCTTCTCAGAGAAACAGTACGGTACTTTCGAGGCATATCCCACGCCAGAAATATTCCGTGTGCCTTTGGAAACGATACTTTTACAAATGACGGCAATGGGTTTGCCCAATGTGCGTTCGTTCCCATTTATTGAATCGCCCGAAGAAGAGTGCATTGAGCAAGCCATTTGGTCTCTCAAGCAGCATGTGAGTTTCGTCAATTTCGCCCTAACAAACTATCGACAATGTATTTTTGTATCATAGAACGCGCTTGCTGTGGATGAGAAGATCACAGCACTTGGCAAGTCACTCTCCAATTTACCGGTTGAGATTACAATTGGCAAAATGTTGCTTATGGGTTGTGTTTTTCCCGATGTTGAGAAGATTTTAACGCTGGCTGCAATCATGAGCGTGCAGAATCCGTTTACAAATCGCGCCTATACGGATCGCAAGTGTGAGGTTAGTTTTTAATACAGCTTATTACCATTATAATTTTATTTATTTAATTTTTTTTTTTTGCATTGCAGCAAGAACGTGAGCATCTTCAGTCCGATCAAGGAGATGTGTTTACCTTACTGTGCGCTTATCACGAGTGGCTACAATTGAAATGGCATAATGAGAACACCAGAAAATGGTGTCATAAACTTGGCATTGAGGAACAAAGGTATGAGTACTGATTAAGCAAAACAAAAAAAAACTTATGTTGTTGTAGACAAAATGAAACGAAATGTTACACGTCGGCTGCGCAAAATTACAAAAGACTGCGCACCACTTCCACCGATGAGGAGGTTCAGAGTGCCATCAATAAGGCGAAATCGTCCAAATGCATTGGCTGATGCTAAAGCATCTAGGCTCGACGGGAATAAGTTACCCCACTAAGGTTCTCAATTTATCGCTGACCACTCTTCAAAGTACAGAGCTACAACAAAATCTTCTAGTCGCCGGCAACACATGGAAAAAAACAAAGAAACGTTGTTGGCAATTTACAAGGCAATCGACACGCCGTACCAATATGATCGCCTCCATACAGTGAAACGCAGACAAGCGTCAGAATACTGCACTCCGGACTACGGCAGAATGCCTCTTGATGTCTCCTATCGAACACCTGCATAGTGAGGCCCGTATGCTTCCAGTTTGGAAGTTTGGAAGCATAATGAACTCCTCTTCAAGCAGTTCCCGCTGGGGGGCTTTTGTAGAAATCATCCTTGCAGTCACCTGCTTGGAGCGGAACCGCCTCCTAGGAACATCAAGAGGTTATTTATCAACTAGACGACATCAGCAATACGCCGACTAGACTTCGGACGCAACAAACTTCCGACAAGCACCGGCCATCAATACCTTCATCAACTTCCTCTAAGTGAATGGCGGATCACCACTTATTGCAGAGGAAGAGTTCGAGTTGCCGTGAGAAACAAGAGCAACCCTTGCGCAGCTTCTAGACACTGTACCTCCAGATCCAGAATAGACCCTGACATATCCAATATACATATGTCCTGCGCGCATTGAGTCTCCGCATGACACTGGCCATTTCTTTGCATGCCGCACCAATCCCACTCATCTGACACCCCTCTCCCTTTGGTCCAATCCTGCCAAAACAGCACGTTTCTTGGTCCTTCCGTTGTATGACGTCGACAACAACTTAGCTAATCCTTTCTTTGGGATAAAACGACGAGTGCAAATTTTCAAATCGATATTCAAAAATGAGACAGGCAGACGGTTTTTTATAGACAGATTTGTAAGGTCTCCGATATTTCCTATTGGGTGTTATAAATATCGTTGTAAACTGTTCAGGGTATAAAAATGGGGAAACGATCGGAAAAATCCACAAATACTTTTAAGACATACTGCCGGGTTGATTATCTAGTCGTATAAAAATATTTGCCATTCCTCTTACATACATATGTATACCCGACTAATGCCGATTATTTCATATGCAAAATGTTTCCTTTTTTTTGTTTAATTTTTTTCTCATATCACCCTGTTTCCCATAGGTTTTACGAGATCACCAAATTGCGCAACCAATTCCAAAATATACTCGAAAGTTGCAACATGACCTGTAAAAATGCGGATGGCGCGCCACTGAGCAGCGCTGAGCGTGCGCGCCGTCATGGCGAAGTGCGTCAGCTGAAGGCGATCAAACGCAAACAGAAATACCAAGAGCCGCGAAAACGTAAAGTTCTCAAACACAGCGGTTACGGTGCCGGCGATGATGAGTACGACGACACTGCCGAAGGCGATGACATACGTGACGTGGACTTTCGTCTGCAGCACGATGCCGGCAAATTGGAGGTGCTCTTAAACTCCGCCAAAGGCGACAAACTGCGCGATGTCTTGCTGCTCAAGCTAATCATAGTCAGCGGCTTCTATCCGCAAATTGCGATTGCTGACGAGTTCAACTACTGCAAAAGTGGCAGTCAACAGTTCTTCCACACATTTCTAAAGCCCTTCATATCCATACATCCAAACGCGTATTTTGCCAAATATTTTGATGTGCTCAAACTGAACGATAGCGATATACTGGACAAGCCGAGCTACTACACGCCAAAGCAGCTGCTCAGTACGCGACATCAGGTGTTGTGCTATCAGTAAGGGAAATCACATATTTAATAAGCGCTCTGTTTACTTTTACCATTTACTGCAACCCTAGAAATTTGCTGGAGACCGCAAAACCCTATTTGATGAATTGCATACGCATGCCGGCCGCGCAGACGCTACTCCTGTTCTCCTATTCGGTGGACACCAATGCGTCCGTCACACGCATAGTGTGCGATTCGTGGCTGTGTCTGGAGTTCCCCGTACCAGAGACGGGTTGTGAGCTGCTGTGCCGTGCCATAAAACTGCGCCGTTTGTGGGCTAAACTTTTGTCACAAAAACTGACCGGTAATCATACTACACTTCATAATATACACTGACATTTTTTCAATAACTTCTTTATACACGTAGATTTAGTCAATAATGTGGAGAGCCAAAGTGTAAAGAATACGAAACACGCCAAAGAAGAAGAGTCCGAACTCTGGGAGTCACTTATCGACTTCATAAGCGCAAATGTCAGTTATACAATAAAGCGTTTGCTGCCCGCCGATTTGAAATCGCTCTACACACAGCAAAAACTGAGCAATTTCGAAGCTTTCGACGTCAATCCGTTTGCTGCCGACTATGCGGTGAGCCATAACGAAGAGAAAGGTGGCATAAACGTGCTGGAAAATGTGGTCTATGGTTGGTGAGTGGAAAGAAAGTTATATAACTCAATATATTAGATATTTCGCTGTTATTGTCCTCATTATTATGTCCACTACTCTCCCACACAGCCTACAAGAAGTGCAATGGACACTGGCAATGGAGGCGGAAATGCGGCAACACACGTGGATTTGCAAGACCTGCGACACAGAGATGGCGTTGGACACCATAGAGAAATTGTTGCACAAAACAAGTGAGTAACTAACGGAAACCGTGAAATGTGAGAAACATTATATTCAATATGTAATACTTCCAGCTTGCCACGCCACGAGCTCGTCTGCAACAATCAAAAGCGAAACCGTTGCAAAAACGCTGCCTAGCACTTCGGGTTCAAGCAAGGGTGGCGTTTACTTCTGCGAGTTCTGCCACAAGGAATTGCGAAATATGAGTAAAATTGATATTTTAAAACACAAAAAATATTGCAATAAATCCGATGCGGCGAAATGAATTACAAATAAACAGAAAAACAAGAAAGAGCATTAACTTTGTCTACTGAAAAGCTTTAATACCGTTCACAGTTGCAATTCTTAAAGCAAATAAGAGCACAAAAATATATTTATTTTGATTTTGATCGGTGGTAAAATTCCGGTAAGTTGTCATCGAGGTCATCCAAGGGTAGGCCCCGGAAACTGTTTCAACGGGATTGTTGTTGTAACGATTATCTAGTTCCCGTTAGGCTGGTAAGGTTCATCGAGGTCATCCAACGGTAGGCCCAGGAAACGTGCTGTTTAGACCGGGTCGGACCATATCGCCATTTTTTCGGCGATCTAACCTCGTTTGGATTGTTTTTTTTTTTTGGTATCACATGTGTAGAGTCAGCTGGGCATGCAAAGAGGTGGTTAGAATCATGGGGGGACTCCTTACACGCCGGACATATATTTGGTATGTCGGGGGAAAAGTAGGGGTTTAACGTGCTACAGTATCCAGAATGAAGTTGCGCAAGGGTCACTCTCTATACTCGCGGCAACTTGACGCCATTATCATGCAGTCACCAGCCTACGATGTGATAGAAATTCTCTCCGTTGGTTGAAGTACTTTCGAAATGTAGAAATAAAACAGCAACGGGGAGAGGACACCACCCTGCGGAACCCCCTATGTAATTCTTCTCTATTTGGAATTTTTACTTCGAAAAAGTATGCTTGATTGGCGACCGCTCAAGCAGTTCAATAGTCCACCCTTCAACCCTGTTTTTCGATGTCCTAAGACTTACCCATCTAAACAGGGTTACAACACCGATTTTATCCGGGTCAATTCCGGAGCGTAAAACCGGCTGTTGTGGGAATTGTCCGCAAGTATCGTTGTGTGGTTGATTGTGTCAAAGGCTTTTGACAACACCAACGCTACGAGGATAATCCTCTCGCAAGGTGGTTTTTGGTTGAGATCATGAACTATCTTTCTGTCGCTAAGTGATGTGGTGGTGCTGTGCACTTTAGGAAAGTCATGCAGGACCATTCCTCCGATATTCCACACACCGGATATTTGAAGAGTGATCAGGGACCGGTTGAGATCCTTGGTAAGGAGGCTTACTCCAGCCAGGCGTAAGTGCTTTGGCCACAAATTAACATGTTGATTCCATTAAGGCCAATGGATTTGAAAGACTTTGCTTTATTGATAACACTACGATCCTCATCATCGGTGAAGGTAAGTGGTGAGCAGTCTTTTGCATTTTGCGCAACCGTGGGGTAACACATCGTTTGGCTTTTTCTACCGAAGGGTGCAGTGTGAATCGGGTCCGAAGAAGCATTGCCAATGAATTGAATTTCAACACAGTCTTCATGTCTCTTCGGGTTAGACATAGCCTTTAGAGTAGTTCAAAATTTACTCGGCGGTGGAGAGGCTGCAGGTGCTCTTACCATTTTGTCCGCTGTTGTCGATTTACTATTAGCCGAATCTGGACATTGAGATCCCTTATTTGAATCGGCATGGCGTAACTGACGATTAACTCTGCATTCTAAGAGGTAGTTAGAGTCATGAGGGGACTCGTTACAGGCTGGACATTTATATAGTATATGTGGTGTGTCTGGGTCGATTCCGGAAAAGTAAGAATTTAACTAGCTACATTATCTAGATCGGTGCTGTGCAAGGCTGAGTTCGTATGAGGATTTTATAGTTGTCCAATATCGGCGATATCTCCAAATGAGCAACTTTTTAGGAAGATATGCACGTGTTAGAGCATTTCGGAGCTTCGGTATATACGGAGACACAGACGGATATGATTAAATCGACTCAGCTCGTCACATCTGATCATTTATATATTTACCTTTGGGGGTCTCCGTCGTTTTTTTCTGTGTGTTACAACTGTGTATGGCCTTGTACACTCGGGTCAAGGTCTGTCAACTCGGCAGAATTCTGCCACTACAACAACAACAAGCCTATTCGAGTTATAATAAAAACAATAGTTGTTATTTTTTGTTGTATGCCCAATTTTTTGTTTTTTGGTTGTTACTATTAATGTACATAATATGGCCAGCTAATACATATACATATATAGTTGCAAGTCTAGGCGCGGCCAGTCGCTTTTTTTTAACACTTAACGTTAAACTAATTACAATAATTAAAATAATTTACATACATAAGAAGTGTGTGTGTGTACTTTTATACAAAATATGAGCTTGGGCATGGGGAGTATATACATATGTATATGTATTTATGTATGTATGTATACGTTAGCATGAGTAAAGTTTATATATCGAATAATTAAGCTTACTTGCGGAAATTTTTTTTCTTAAATAGCGCTAGATTTAGTTTAATATAATTATGTGACGCGATTTATCATCGAGATAAAATCAATATGCAGCTATACAATAAGATATATATTTAAGCCTACATATGTATGTATGTATATGCAGATGTCTAATAATTTACATGTGAAGCTCGTTGGGAAAAACAAACTGAATGGTCAAACGACATGAAATACGCAAAATTTAGCTCTAGCATTAAAAGTAAAATAATTTGGCGAAATTTGCAAGGCTTTAAAAACGCGCTGCATATAGTTTGTCGTTTTTTTGCCATTTTCGAAACTTTAATTTTTTTTTTATATTTTTTATACTTTTTTTATAAAAAGGTATGGATGTGTTCGACAGCCATTTGCACAACAATAGCTGCCTCCATAGTTTCACACAAAGAAAATAGCTCACTGAGCGTTGTCAAAACGTGCGCCGATCTTTGGGACGCGCGGCGAACGTTTTCTTCTCGGCTGCTGTAAAGACAAGAAATTTAGTGAATGAAGTAACAAGAAAAAAGCCAAAGCATAAACAAAATGAACTACCTCTGGTTGAGCGCTGCAGCCATCATTCTTAGTTTCATTTGTTGCTTTTGTGCTGGCTTGCTCCGGCAGCTGTTGTACATTTTGTGGCAGATTCTGTGTGTTCGATGCTTCCGACTTGATTTGCAATTTGGTCAACTGCAAAAGCAGAGTTTGAATATAATAAAATCTTTTATTTTTAATGGTATTATTAACTTACGGTTTGCTGCAGCGCCTGCACGTTGGCTTTCTTCGTGTTTATGGGTGCGCCTTTGACGGCACTCACGGTGCGCTGACGCTCCTGGTGCGGCGTAGGCTGTTGCGGTGATGCCGGGACGTGCGCTTGTGCCTGCTGATGGGCGTTGCCACGCAGCACCTGCAGCGGTATGAAAGCGCTAGGCGGATGACCCATGTTCTCCAATGTGGCATTAGGTTGAGACTTTTCATTAATCGGATGGATCATCTAAAGGAAGCGGTAAAAAGAAACGGAGGAATAAAAATTAGATGTCTGACGATGAGAAAATGTTTTAAGCAGCTTACCTGAAAGGGCAGCGGTGGGTGTGGCGTGTGCTGCTGCATTGGGTATGCTGCCGGAAAAAGCATCTTTGGTGGATAGTAGCCGCCCATGTTGTTGTAGTGTGTTGGAGGTGGCGGTGGCATCGGCTGGCCGGGCAGCCTATTGGTGGCGCCGCCGTAGTGTAGCAACGTATTCGGCTGTGGCGCCAATTGTGGAGGTTGTTGTTGCTGTTGTAGTGGGAAAATGGGCTGCAGCGGCCGGTTGGGCGCTTGATAATGTGGCCGCCTATTTAGTGGCAGTTGTTGGGCTTGCTGCGCATCGCTGCGCCAACCAGCCGGCGGTTGAGGTAACTGTTTCTTCAACGGTTGTGAGCCGTCTCTCTTGTCCTTTTGGCTCGTTTGCGGCTGCACAGTGGCTGGGTTCAAACCGACGCCGAGTATGCTCTTCAACGCTTGCGTGCCCGCTTGGCAATCGCTCGCATCGCTTACACTCGCCGTTTTCGGGGCGGCTGTTCGGTTGCCGAGTAGTAACTTTTGCATTAGCTGCTCTTGTGGATTCTCCGATTTCGCCGCTTCATTCGGCGTTGCATATTCGCCTTTTGTCGTCGAATCAATCACTTTGCTTTGGATTTTAACATTATTTTGCTCCGCATTGGCCAGCGCTAATTCTTTCGCCACCGTGTGTTTCACTTTGGTTTCTGCCGCTGGCATCCAGAAGTCATCGGCGTCAATTGCACCGCCACCACCGGCACTTTTATATGTGCTTTGCGCGGGCAACAATGCCTTCGGCGGCTCTGCTCTTTGTTGCAGTATGCTAATTTTCGCATTATTACTGCTGCTGGGCTCGTTGGAGCCGCTCGGTTCACTTAGTTCGCTCGACTGCTGTGGCGTCAGCAGCTGCTGTTGTTGTTGTTTCTGTGCTTGTGCAAAGCCATTGTGATTGCTCTGCACAGTCCTGTCTTCGTTAGGTAATTGATTCGGCTTCGTGTCCTGCATTTCGTTTTGTTTATTATCTATCATATGAGCGGAAGAAAGAAAACAAAAATGGTGTAAAACGGAATATATACAAAAATAATGTAAAAAAAATCGACAACTCACCCTGTGCGGAAATAAGCAACAACGCCGACTCCGAAACCCTATAAACGCGTTCCTCGGCAATACCGTACACATCGTTGCCACTCGGCAGATGCTTATCGAAGAGTATTTCATAGAATATGTCTACGGACTTCACACATTCCATGCGCACTGGGTTCGGATCGGTTATCGGATACACGCCAATAACGGTACCCTTCGCACCTAGCGGCACCATGTAAGTGGTTTTCACCACCACCACACGATCGAATAATTTCACAGGTCGCTTGGGCTTGTAAATATTTGCCAGCGTTACGTCAGGTTTGAGCAGCAGGTGGGGTTTCACTTGCAGCTTTACAGTCTTCACGGGTAAAGTCTAGAAAAAAAAAAAAAAAATTAAATAAAAAAATATTTAAATTAAAAAACAAAAATTAAAAATTAAATTGAAAAAACAATTAAAAATATAATTTAAAAAAATTTAAAAAAAATCAAATATAAAATAAGAAACAAAATTTAAAAAAAAAATTGAAACAATCAAAAAAAAATCAGAAATAAAATCGGCAGAAGAATCAAAAATAATATAAAATTGAAAAAAAAAAAATCAAAAATAATATCGAAAAAAGTAAAATAAAAAAAAAATTACAAATAAATGTGAAAAAACCGGTACAAGGTTGCAAAATTTTAAATTAAAAAATTGTTGATTTTAAATTAGATTTTTTATTCTTCATCCCAACATCTTGGATTAAAGTAGTTTTTGAATTAAAAATTTTTTTTTTAATCCAATTCATTTAATTTTTGAATAAATAATGTATATTTGTGATGCCAACTTTTTTCTCATATAATACCTTTAATTGTTCGATGGCGTCCAGCACGCTCTCAACGGCTTCCTTCTCCATTGTTTGTGAGCCACATAAACGTCTATCCGCCTTAACATGATCTTGGCTCTTTAGCCACGTGATAATCTCATCTAATTTACGCTCACCAACTTCTTTGGGGAAGAGATCTTCTTCGAAACAGAATTCATTGCGATCCGAGGAGCGACTTAAGAAATCAAAAACCATGGGATATTTTAAATAATACTCTTGTATCAGCGACATAGCTTTGGATGAGTAGTACCACTGATTGTTTATGCGGCGGCAATAGCCAGCGCGCTCTTCTTGCTGCAAAGAAAAACAAAAAAATTAAAATCAAAAATTAAATCATTCTTTATACACACACATACCTGCTTGGGAAATTTAAGCTGCAAGCCAATATTGACTTTTGAGACATTCTCCGGCAATTCCTTACGACGCGCGCCCGCCACCACCAAAACCGTGCCAGTGACGCGGCCAAGACACCGCATTTGTATACTAACTGTGGCGGCGACTTGGAAGGAATGTACGTAGTCACGCTCCAGTTTGTGTTGCAATAACCGTGCGGCGGTGAAATCAGGCTCCGGAAGCACCGTTATATTTACTGTTATTAAATTTATTAAATAAATGAGCAAAATCATGCATTTCAACGTTGTTTTACCTTTTAAACGACCACATTCGTAGACGAGCATGGGATTTAATACGGTGCCTTCGCTGCCAAAGTAAGGACTGCCTAAGAAGAACACTGTGCTGTCGGTAGGAAAGAAGTTCTCCACCTTTTTGGGCTGCGTCACCCCGCTTTTTTGCACAGCAATCTCAGCAACAACAGTCTGTGTGGAAATAACGGTATAGCTAAAACAAAAGTTAACAACAATAACAAATTTTAAACGGACCTGCGCCGGATAGGCGGTAACCGAATAGCCCCAGGCATCGTTCACAATGATCTTGCCTTGATTGCCGCAAACGCAAGTGGTGCCTATGTGTACGCGCACATGCACCAACACCGAAAAGTCGTCCAATTCAATGCCCATGCGTGTGCTGAGGCTAGAGGAAGAAAAAAAAAAATATATATATACATCACAGTTAATCATAAGTAGTTTGAGTACAAGCAAGCAGATTTAAGCGCTTACTGGGTACCCGTTGCAACAACAACTTACTGCTCCTGTGCTGTCTTCATGTGGATTTGAAATAACCTTGGTTCCATGTCTTTTATGCCTTCGGCATCAATGTACTTTTCCCTGTTGGATATGCCGACTACTTTTGATTTTATCAAGTGCGGCCAGCCAGTGTAAACGACTTGATTCAAATACTTTTCAGCAACAGTGTAAATATCATCCAATCCTTTGCGCATATGAGGCTTCAGTATTAGATTTTCGCTTCGACTTGATTGTTCGAAAACGCGCACGCGTGCAAACTTCAACTCGAACTATGTAAGAAATGACATTTATGGTAACTATAAAAAAAGTAGTAGTCAAACACAACATACGTCGTATTTCAGATGCTTCATGGTCGGGAAGCCAGGAAAGAAGACTGTGCGCGCGGCATTTGGCAGCTCGACACATACAGTTTTGTCGGACGGCACAGCGATTTCTCTCGACCAAATCTGCTGTTCGGTGCAGAACACACTATATAACGGTCTCAACGAGAATATACCGGGTGCGCTACCTTGCGATTCTGGATGGTAGTCGTACTGATGCATTGGACCATGACGATTTCGTTTCACTTCGGCTGGTGTGAGATTCTTTTCGCAAGCTTTCATTGCATCCAGCAAACGTTTCTACGAATACGCATATATTAGAATTTAGTTAGTACATATGACATGTGTGCATTGCTCACCTCATCAATGAATGGTATTAGGACGACCGCTTCCCATTCGTGTTTCTTGCCATTTAAATCGGTTTCGAAGTCTTTTGGATAAAATTCGAGCAATTCGCTGGAGGTGCTGGTCATTAGTTCACGATATGCCGCCGGCAACAAGTCTTTGCTAGCGGCTGGTAGCACAGCTAAGAGCTTTCAGTAAATTGCAGTTATAATTTTGTTCTGTATTTACTCATTTAGTATATGGTGGACATACCTGTTCGAATGGCAGGAACGGTTCACCCAAATTAAACTTAATTTTATAGTCTTTAAAGTTTTTCAGGTCACTGATAAATGGTGCGTAATGATGGGGATAATACCAATCCCATGATTGCACACCTCTGTAGTAGTAGTCCAAAATCCATTGTAGTGCGGTTATGTAACAAATAGCTTGCTCACGCTTTGATTCACTATAATTTGACAAATATATTATATATGTTCATATCACTAGCACCAGCATAATCATATATTTACCAATTCATATCGTTTTGATTTAATTTATTCATATAATAATTGCGTTTATAAGTCTCAAACTCATCCGCCAAGTGTTGTTCTTCATCGGACAAATCTTCATCGTCATCTTCTAAGAACTGTAAAAAAAGTAATTATCAGAAAATAGTCATCGGAATTGATTCGTGGGCTCACCTGTCTGCTGCTCGCAATTAGATCAGCGAGATCAGCGTCTTGATTCTCCAATGTTATCTCATTTATATCAAAATCGAATGCTTCATCAATGCCATTCTTTGTTTGTTTGGCTTCGAAATATTTCAAATCTGCGTGATTTTCCTGAAATATTTCGTATTCGACATTCGAAAGTTCGGCGAAATATTTCTCCAAACGCTCTAAATTTAGTTTTCCATTCACATTAATGTTACCTAAAAATAGTATAATTAATCATTTTAAAAGACAAATTCAAAAACAAAAAAATTGTATTGTTACCTCCAAGCGTTGGGTAAACTTTGATGTAGGTCTTATATAATAAAGGCAATGCATTTGAAGAGATATGCATACACGGCAAATGCGGTATAAAATCATTGCCCACAAGGAACCCCATCAGTACCCAGTCATCGATAAGATTTGATATGTTAAAATTGTCATAATTTTTCTTCAATTCGTCAAATTCGAGTTCTAGATATTCACGCAACAATCCTAAATGTAGTAGGAAAAAGCGCGTCTCCTCAACAGAAGCTTGCTTTGTCTTACGTCCGAATTTTACTTCTTCGCGCAATACTACGAAATGGGGCTCATGCGTACATTGTCCCAAAATAATTAAATCTGCATCCAATCCATAGAGGCAGTGGCGTGTATTTGGATCATAGTCTTTTTGTGATTTGAGGTATCTAATGTAATCCATTATTTTATGTTCCCCCTCGCCTGGTGCCTAAAATGTTAATATACACTTAAATATACACACATATAACACATTTGAATAAATTAAAAAAAATTATACGAAATATAACTCGACCTACATCATGTCCACTCAGTATAACACGGCACTTTTGCCATAATGGATCTGAACTGATTTTACTCTTAATAAAATAGCGCAGTGCCTCTTGCAGACGCACCATAAATTCGGTGCCAGGTGTGATGCAGTTGCTATCAAAGCGTTCAGTTTCACGTACTTCACCGCGACTTTTGGCTTTTGCTTCTAATATCTCAGCATCTTTGGCAGAGCGAAAACGCCGACTGCGCTGTTGATTCATTTTAGCGCGAGGGGCTACGCCGTCAACGGCCATAAAAAATAGCTTTTGTGGCTTAATTAGAAAGAATAACTTATCGATGTAATTAAAAATGTCTTTAAACATGTTTTCCTCTGTGATAGTAAAGTGAAAGTTGCTGTCATCAGGATGTGAACATGTATGTATTATTCCGTTCATGTCTAGATAAAGATTGTCAAAATCCGCAATCTGGAGGAGAAATTCAAAAACATTTATTTGAATAATTGCCTTAGAACATAGTAAAAATTTAACACTTACACTTTGTTCTCTTGCTAACTCACTCAGGCAAGGGTAACGTTCGCTGATGTAGCGGAAAAATTTTGGTACTCCCATATTTAGTTTTTTTTTCTATCGGTCACAGTCACAGCCCTCAAACTAAATAAAAATATTAGATTTTTGAATTATACAATTTCAAAATATTCACTTTTTTTCAAAACATTATAAACACCAATTTTATTGGTGTCCTTCAATTATTCTGCATCCAACAAGACTTGCAATCTGTTGGTTTGTTGTTGTGCTTGTTGAAAATATTTCCACGCGCTAACAATAAAAAACATACCAAAATATGGAATTATACAATTCTAACTCCTGGTAACTTGCACTGTTTGTTGAATACAAATAATTGCGGAATTTATGCAATGTATTCTAATTTAAACACTATAAAAACAAGTGAACTAAGACCAACTTTTTTGCACCATTTGTTGCAATGAAAAGCAAATAAAAACGAAAAATTTGGCAATTTATTCAATTCAAAGTCCCGTTCGATTTAGAAGAATACACAGGGTTGCATTTTAAAACGGTGGATGCAAAGTGATGCCATTATAAATATCAGAAGAATTATAAACATATATATTTAAATGAATGCAAAAAATTTGCTAATGTAATAATAATCAATTAATCAATCAATCAAACTTCAAACAAATATTTTTTTTTTTCAAAAGGCACTCAATTACTATAAAAGTTGTATACAAATTTGCATACTACAAGACTCCGAAAGTGCAGTTCTCGATTTGTAAAATTTAGATAAAAATTTAGTTTATTAAATATATTAATAATATATATATGTATATAAACATACAAATTTGCATAGTTACATTTAGAGAACCTTAAATAAAAATATATATAGTATTGGTATTGCACTAGCATAAAAAATTCCAACACTGCTTTCAGGGCATTGCACGAAGTATACCGTGAACTTGCCATCCACAGATGTGGATTTCAAATTCGGAATGTCAAATAGTTTTGCTGGTTTTTCGCTGTCTGCGTATTTTTTCCAGTAATTAATTAGTAAAAAAGTACTTGTAAACAAAAAGAAAATAAGTTTTTATTAATTTTAGAGAATAAGTTAAGCATTTCGTATACGATCTGTGTTATATGTGAAGAAGAAAAGTAAAACGTCGCTATTTTAAGCTAAAAAACATGCTCCGAGGCGAGCAACGCCTTCGGTGAACAGCAGCGGAGGAGCAGCGCCCAAGCCCCACTGTTAACCCAACCCAAAAGAAAAAAATTCTTGAAACTTCGTCGGGGTATTAAAATGCTGTGTATTGATGCAAATTAGTGTTATAGCAAAAACAATAAGAGTATATGAAAACAATTATTCTTGAAATATAAAGTGATACGGAAACAAAACAAATAAATAAATTTAGCACTTATCGAATTTATAAAACACATACACACACAACAACAAAATGGACGCAGATAAGAATAGTCATGAAACAAAAGTCATCTATCACATTGATGACGAGACTACCCCTTATTTGGTGAAAATTCCCATACCCTCGGCGCAGGTTACACTAAAGGACTTTAAAATGGTGCTCAATAAACAAAATAACAACTACAAATATTTCTTTAAATCTATGGATGCGGATTTTGGTGTCGTAAAAGAGGAAATTGCTGATGATTCCACTATATTGCCTTGTTTCAATGGGCGAGTGGTTTCTTGGCTGGTTTCAGCCGATGGTACAAATCAGTCTGATAACTGCTCAGAGTTGCCAGTAAGCGAATGTGAGGTGCGTCCAAATATGCGTGGTGCTCAACAACAGAAAATCGGTGGTGGAGGAGGAGTTGTCGGTGGCATGATGGGTGTCGGCATGTCTTCTATGGGAGTTGGTGGTGGCGGAGGTGGAGGCATGGGTGTAGGTTTAGCGAATACTGGCGTTATAACAAATCCGATGATGCAACATACTCTTACATATCAATCTGCTTCAGTTCTCTCAAGTGATTTGGATTCGACCAGCCTGTTTGGCACTGAATCTGAAATAACACTTGACCGTGACATGACCGACTATAGCAGTGTTCAAAGACTGCAGGTGCGTAAAAAACCACAAAGGCGTAAAAAACGTGCTCCAAGTATGTCACGTACATCCAGTTATTCATCGATAACTGACTCGACAATGTCGTTGAATATCATCACTGTATCCATAAACATGGAGGCGGTCAATTTCCTGGGTATTTCGATTGTAGGCCAATCGAATCGTGGCGGCGATGGGGGAATATATGTTGGCAGCATAATGAAAGGTGGTGCTGTGGCGTTAGACGGTCGCATTGAACCAGGCGATATGATACTACAAGTAAACGAAGTAAACTTTGAAAACATGACCAATGATGAGGCTGTGCGTGTGCTGCGTGAGGTTGTACAAAAGCCTGGTCCCATCAAATTGGTTGTAGCTAAATGTTGGGATCCAAATCCAAAAGGCTACTTTACCATTCCCCGAACTGAGCCGGTTCGTCCCATCGATCCGGGTGCATGGGTGGCGCACACTCAGGCATTGACTGCACACGATAGTATTATTGCCGATATACCAGAGCCGATCAAAGAGCGTTTGGATCAAAATAATTTAGAGGAAATTGTAAAAGCCATGACAAAGCCGGATAGTGGTTTAGAAATTAGAGATCGAATGTGGCTGAAAATAACCATACCGAAGGCATTCATTGGTGCCGATGCCGTTAATTGGGTACTAGAGAATGTTGAGGATGTGCAAGATCGCCGTGAAGCACGTCGTATCGTATCGGCAATGCTACGTAACAACTATATTAAACATACCGTTAACAAGCTGACATTCTCTGAGCAGTGTTATTATGTCGTTAATGAAGATCGTAATACACATTGTCGTTCAAATATCAGTCATGCCGATACGGAAAGTATTACAAGCGACATTGGACCACTGCCGAATCCTCCAATCTATATGCCATACTCAGCCACCTATAATCCCAGTCACGGTTATCAGCCCATACAATATGGATTAACAGAGCGACACATCTCTTCCGGTTCGAGTAGTTCGGATGTGTTGACGAGCAAGGATATATCAGCATCGCAAAGCGACATCACATCGGTTATACACCAGACCAACCAAATGACCATCGCTCATGGCTCAAATAAATCTTCCGGTTCGTCGAATCGTGGCACCAACGAACAGGATGCGTCGGTTTTTAATTACGTACTGTAGAAATTGCAATGAAATTGTGTTTATTCTTTTTATATACAAGTACATACACACATAATTATACATAAATACATTACATGCATACATACATAATTTTGGATAAAATTTGGAGAATTTAGTAACCACAATGATAATAAAAATAATTAAATACCACATAACGATAACCATAAAGTAAATAAAATAATAAAAATATATATTTTTGACTTATTATTTAATATTTTCTAATGGTTTGTAGAACTGAGGGAATATTTCAGATATGTACGTCTCTATAGATGTCAAAGTGAATATTGGAAAATATACGACTAATGATTATATTCGAAGCGGTATATTAAAGCTTCCATGAATTAAAAGTTTCAAGGTGCTGGTGTGGTAAAGAATTCCAGCTGCCTGCTTTCTTTAATATCTGTAAGTATAAATTTCTATTGCACGAATACATAAATTAATTTTTATATTTTTATAGGTTAATTGGAAAAAGTCTCTTGGAAAGAGAAATATTTATATTTTACACCTGATCTTTCCAACGGAGTTGAGGTCTCCTTATTCCATCGTTTCCCCCGACGAGTACTGTGTTGAATACTCTCAGTGCTGGAGTGTTTTCACCCATTCGGACGACATATCTCAGTAGTACTCACCGATCCAAACGGGGTTAGATCGCCGAAAAAGCAGCCCTTGATCGGATAAAATCCGAGTCAATTCCGGTGCGTAGAACCGGCTGTCGTGGGAATTGACACATATCCCAGTCAGCGTAGCCGCTGTCTCTTAATTCGCTGAACTATTTCAATGTCTTCGTATATCTTGTATAGCTCATCCTTCCATCGCCTGCGGTTTTTGCCGTTGCCAATGTTCTAATGACCATAAATCTTCCGCAGAATCGTTTTCTTAAAAATTCGTATGCCGATTCCTCAGATGTCATCGTCCATGCCTCTGCACCATATAGCAAGAAGGGGATGATGAGTGGCTTGTAGAGTTTGGTCTTTGTTCGTTGTCAATTGCTTACTCAGTCTGAAGTAGCACCTGTTGGCAAGAGTTATTCTGCGTTATATTTCGAGGCTGATGTAGTGCAGTCTTAAAAATCACCTTTTCAACATAGGTATAGCTTCTTGTGCAAACTATCGGTTTTAAGACATGAAGCCAGAAACTCTTGAGCACTTGATTTTAGACTACACAACAGTTTGTAGACGCAAGGCCAAGGCCGTTGGATCTATATATCCGAGTAGGCACTATATCGCTACAAAAGTGCGCAGCAGGATCCTCGAATTTATCAGAGTGAGGGGTCTATGTGAGTCTGTATGACAGAAATGATAGACCTAAGGTCGCAATACAAGCTTCAATTTATTTCTATCTTCTATCTATCTACTACAACTGTACGAAAATCATAACAACTTCAATTCTTTTAAATATTTAAAACAAGAAAAATCTTTATAAAGTGGCTGATCTTTATATACCTTGTGATGATGATAAAATCTTTGACAGTAAATAAGTCCAACAGCAGGCATTAAGCGTCAAACACAGAGTAAAAGCATTTTGGGAGTTAAATCATTAACTGTTGTAGATGTGATGTTTGAGTTATCTCAAGAAATGGAAGTGATCGTTACACGTTCTGCATTTTTCGCCAGTAGATGAAACACTTCTACATTTTTCCTACAGAAACTTGTTGAAGCAGCTGTGTTTTTATTTACTTATCTAAAGAAAGTTAGAACTACGAAATAACAGACCTTATAAAATCTGAGATGATTCCTCTGCCATAGAACCATTTGTCCGGGCATGGAAGTGATTCCGATGATAGTGAATTTTGCGCTTTTACTTAAATAATGCCTATATATTATAACCACAATAAAAACCTATTTTTCTGTGATTGCTTTACATGACCTCCAAAATGCAATTTCTGAAAGTCAACAATGACAATTTTGTGCTATAAAAACATCAGACACATACTTGCATTTCCAATGACAACGAAATAGTAAAATTACTGGTTATACCGTTAGATGACATTTTCAGCAATAAATTGGCGTGAAGTCGTTGCTACAATTACAATCCATGAGACTTTCATACGTTTCCACGACATTTGGGTCTACGTAGCCGGAATGGCTCTGGGTTTTTATGCGGCCAAGGACTCTCAACTTGGTGATGTTTTCTGCCGCTAAAAATAAATTCCAAATTTTAAAATTATATTTGTAGTTTCAAATACTTCTTGCATACTTTCTGGCGTTAAGCTGTTGATAATTTTATTGAAAATTAATTATTAAATTTTTTAATTAATTTTTTGTAGCTTTCTTTTTGTTTAAAGCTATATAGTTATCAGGTGAAAATATTATTTTATTATATTCGCATATGACAAACGCTATGTATGTAGCTATGTATAGCTACAATTAGTGAAAATTAACATCATGTGAAATATTCTTTTTTGTAGGGTTACTGAATGAAAACACAATAAATATTCTTAAATTGTTATATCCGAACACCGATGTTTGTGACACCCAATAAGAAACGTCAGAGACCCTATAATGTATGTATATAAAGGAAGAGCCATTTCGAGGTTCCCTACTTTTTTAAAGAAAAATCACAGAAACTTCAAATTTAATGGGGAATGTTTATATCATTCGAAAGAACGTTCTTTGGTAATTATATCTTAAAGAGCATCTCTTCAATTGTTGGCAGTGGAGACGTCTCAGATGGTCCATCCACTGAATCCAATTTTCGATGACTCGGTCGAGCATTTTGACTGGTAACTGGCGAATGACACGCGTGATGGTTTGCTCCAAGACCTGAATCGAAGCGAGATTGTCCGCATAGACTTTAGACTCTGCGTATCCCCACAGGAGAAAGTCTAACCTTGTGATATCACATGATCTTGGTGACCAATCGATCGGCCCAAAACGTGAAATTATCTGCTCACCGAAGTGTTCTCTCAATAAATACACAGATTGATACGTTGTGTGGGAAGTGGCGATGGTCTTGTTGAAACCAAATGTCAACGAGATCACGAGCTTAAATTTTCGGCATCAAATAGACGGTTAACATGGCGCAATAACGGTCGCCCTTGACGGTTACGTTTTCATTGTTGAAGTAATATGGACCAAATTGTTGCTTTTTATAGATAAAGTGGCAACTCTTGAATCTTTTTAGGTTGCTCTTCGTCCCAAACGCGGCAATTTTGCTTTTTTACATACCCATTGTGCCAGAAATGGGCATCATCGCTGAACAAAATTTGGTTCGAAAAAGTCGAATCTTCTTGAAACTTTTCAAGAGCTCATAGAGCGAAGCGATGTAGCTTGGGAAGGTCGAGCGGCTTTAGTTTTTGCACAAGTTGTATGTTATCCGCTTTAAATTTATTATTTCGACGAAAAATGCACCAAGTTGTATCATATGTCAGTCTGAGTTGCTGCGAACGGCGCCGAATGGACTTTCCACTGTCTTCGTGTACATTCTCAGCTGCAGCTGCTATATAATCTTCACTGCGTGCTGAAATCAGTGCTCTATTCGGTTAATATTCGACCCAGTAATGAACAATGAGTCTCAAGATGGGTGATGGCGTTGCGAATAGTACGCTCAGCAGGTCAATTGTATTGACCATAAGTTGAGCGAAGCGCGAGAAACATATTCTTTACAAATCGTGAATTTTTTTTGAACGATTTGTAAACGTTGTTCAGCGTAAGTCTTTCCATGATGAAATGCCAAATCGATTTCCTGTATGGAAAACTTTTTTATTTGACGAGATATCTTTGCGAAATTTCCCATTGTTTCCTGGGACACTGGAACGAAGGAATTGTTCATATGGAGTCACTGATCTGATAGAATAGTTGTATTTGTGAAGTGTACTAGAACCTGCCAGAAAAATGGAACGTTGTGATTACAGAGAATAAAATTCTGCCTTCTTGGTGAAGCAACTTTGTCTTTGGAATCCCATTTTAGCGATTTGGGAGCTACTTTTTGACTCCCAACGTCCGATGCCGATCGATGTGTTTCAACCCAACTGAGTGCAAACCCCGGTTATATCGAATAACAGCCAACTTGGTTCCTAATGTAATTTTAACAAGTAAGGAAGGGTAAGTTTTGGTGTCACCGAACATTTTATACTCTCGCATGATAAAGTGATAATCGAGATTTCAGGCGTGGTTGTGAACCGATTTCACTCATATTTGGTACATGTCATCAGGGTGTTAAGATAATATTATATACCGAATTTCATTGAAATCGGTCGAGTACTTTCTCAGATATGGTTTTTGGTCCATAAGTGGGCGACGCCCTCCCATTTTCAATTTTTAAAAAAACCTTGGATGCAGCTTCCTTCTGACATTTCTTCCGTAAAATTTAGTGTTTCTGACGTTTTTTGTTAGTCGGTTAACGCACTTTTAGTGATTTTCAACATAATCTTTGTATGGGAGGTGGGCGTGGTTATTATCCGATATCTTCCATTTTTGAACTGTATATGGAAATGCGTAAAAGAATCGACTCTATACAGTTTGGTTGACATAGCTATAGTAGTTTTCGAGATCTGTAAAAAAAGTTAGTACGTCCAAATATGCCCCTTCCTAATGCGATCCTTTGTGCCAAATTTCACTTTAATATCTTTATTTATGGCTTAGTTATGACATTTTATAGGTTTTCGGTTTCCGCCATTTTGTGGGCGTGGCAGTGGGCCGATTTTGCCCATCTTCGAGCTTTACCTTCTTATGGAGCCAAGAAATACGTGTACCAAGTCTCATCATGATATCTCAATTCTTACTCAAGTTACAGCTTGCACGGACGGACGGACGGACAGACAGACATCCGGATTTCAACTCTGCTCGTCACCCTGATCACTTTGGTATATATAACCCTATATCTGACTCTTTTAGTTTTAGGACTTACAAACAACCGTTATGTGAACAAAACTATAATACTCTCTTTAGCAACTTTGTTGCGAGAGTATAAAAATTCGTGGTTCTTATATAATAATATCCCAACTTCATGGACTCAAATGTTTTTAACAATTTCTCGTCGGCTCTGACCCTTATAGAAACCACTTTGGCTATTTTTTGATTGAAGCGCCAGCTGTTCAAGTGAATTTATCACATCCCAAAGTGTTGACAAATAGACTGTTCACTGCACCTTCGCTTGTGGAACGAGTCAAACGCAGATTTCGTTTCAAACGTTCGAGCTGAGATATGTCGCTGCTTTACACTTACGATAAATTTGGCATATTGGCATTTCGTATTTATTTATTTGTTATGCTAACTGATTAACACCTTCTCATATGGAACTCGCCGAGACACTTGTACGTGCTCACATACACACCGACAGACATAGACGCATACTGATAATCATTTTAGCCGCTAATAGAGAATATCTAGTTTGATGTCATTTCGAGCTGAGCACCGGAGATCACAAGTCGTGACGGGATTTTTAATTTATACACACGGTGCTTGAGTGCATATTGAGTTTGGAATTGGAAGTAACTGAAGGTAGAATCGTCTAACTGCCGTTGCAGTGCTTGTTTGTTGTTGTTTGGGACTGTTTTGAGATGCGTTTTGAAATAAACGAACTTGTGTTGCTAGTGATCGCCTTTGCGCGTCACTGTGCGGGCGTGATGCGACCGAGCGACGCGCTGTCGGTGATGGCTGGTGAGGGTTTCACGGCCTACTTGGATTTACCGAAGACCTTTGGTGCCATCGAGAACTGTTGGTTTCAATTTGGAGGTAAATAAATGTGTGACTAGCTTTCGTAAGGAACTTCCGTAACTCTTCAGTGTTCTTCATTTATAGCTGAGGAGAAAATTAAGCTTGACTTGAATGCCCCTAATGCCATCATAACGGCGAATGCTGAGGAAGTGTTGCCATTCTCAAGTACCGTTTGCGGTATACGTGTTAATAAAGTGTCCTACGTTTCCGCGGATACTTGGAAGCTGGAAGTTGAGAATGCGTTTGGTGATTATGAACGCGGCGAGCTGAAACTCTCCGTACTCGCTACGCATAGGAAACACTTCAATACTAGCGTCCAGTTGGCTATCGGAGAGGGCGCTATTTCCTGCAGCTTGTCCGACACTGCGACAAAGGAATGCAAAATCATCGATCATAAGAGAAACCAGATTTGGAATTCGTGCAATATTTATACAACCATAAAACCGAACCGAACATTCGATTGTTATACCAAAAATTGGGGCAGCATGACACAGAGCCATGAACACATAGTTGTTGAGGCTAAGAATAGCAGCTTGTATACCACGGCTAGTGTAACGGATGGCGATGACAGCGTTGTGATGCGCTGTCAGTTCAAAAGTGAGCTACGTGGCTGTCAGGCCGAATCGCCAGGTGGGACGGCTGAGTTGTATCTTATGGAGGGATTGTATAATGGACGTTACTCGGCTTATGATACATTGTGAGTAAAATTATGCACTTCATAAATCTTAGCTTATATTTGGCTTGCATTCACTAACATATTTCGGTTTGAATCAACTTGTGGGTTTGATACTGTCTGAACAATGTAAACCTTTTATGTGTGAACATTTGACATCGGACTAAGATTACGCCTCAATCGGGATTCGAATGAAATCATTGCATTGTTCAGATCAAACACTGTCCAATTTCGATAAGGTGTCACTGCTTGAACAAAAAGTCTTTCATAAATCGTATCATGAAGTCGTTTAAGTTTTCGTATATGCAGGTTATTAGATATAATGAAGTTCTTTTTGTGCCCTCAGAATTCACTTGAAATCCCTGAGACATCAAAGAAGAGTGTGTATCAGTTGAAAAGTACCTGATCTACCATATTAGAACACATTTTTTGGCAAGGATTTTTTCCCCTTCAACATAGAAATATCATAGGATTATTCACTGATTATAACGACCCTTCTCTACGATACCATTTTAGTAGCACTTTGCTTCTAAATAGGCCTCAGTTTTGGCGATTATCTCGTCATCCGACGAGTATTCTTTTGAGTTATTAGAATATGAAATAGTCTCTGGGGGCCTGATAGGATAATATGTTGGATGTGGAAGCACACTTCATGGATTTCTGCTATCATTTTCGTTGACTTGTGACACGGTGTACTGTCTTGGTAAAACAGCACTTTCTGTTTCTTCAAATACGTCTGTTTTTCGGCGATTTCGTCCTTCAAACGTATTCCAAACTACAGATGCCATAACCTTGCCAGCTGACTGTTTCGTTTTTCCACGCTTTCGAGCGGTGCAGTCTATTCGGTTGACTGTCGATTGGACGTCGGAGTGAAATGATGAAGTCATGTTTCAACCATTGTCACAAATCGACAAAAAAATCGGATTTATTACGCCAGAATCATCAACTTTTTGGTTAAAAGTGAGTGGCGCCCACCACGAACAGAGCTGTCTCATACCCAACTATTCGTAAATGATATGACGTACAAGTTCAATTGATATCTACACAGTGCCTGCAATCTCGAACTACTTCACTTTACGGTCTTCCAAAATTATTTTGTGGAGTTTTTTGATGTTTTCGTTGGGAACAACCACTTTTGGGCGTCCATTCCATAAACTTAGCAGACAAATCCTTGATGGTTGATTTTCCCGAAGCAGCGTACGAAAAATCGTCGTCAAGCTAAGGTTTTGCTTCAACTGTATTTTTTCTCTTTCATTTTATCAACTTTCTTTTCATTCATTTTTTCACCATAACAAAAGTTGCTTCACTCAAAATTATATAATTCACAAACTAATGATCCGACATACATGTTTCGTTTGAAGGTTGAGGCTAACTAAAAATCATATGAGTTTCATTCTAGTAGTGCCCCGTATGTGTCAGGCCGGGGAATAATCAATTGACCTTGTTTTTGCCAGGCAGCAACGCAATACGAAGTAATTTTCATCTCACCATTTCCATTTTCAGATATTCGAAGCAGCGCTGTGCCTTGGAAATCCCTAAACCACTCAATGAATCTGAGTTGGGTCTATGGCGTATATATAATACAGAAGTAGTGCCGCCAACAGGTTGTCTCTTCTACATTGGCAAGTCAAAAGAGCGAATTATAGCTGAGGAGCTCAATACTCTAAACGACATAAAACAAATTCACGCTTACGATACAGATAAAAATATCGAGTTGTTTACCTGCGAAGTACCCTTCATTATATACGATTGTTACCTACGCGATCCCAATAATACGGTATATTTTCCGGATGCCATACGATTTGAGCGCACGCGCACCTATGGTCAATGTCATTTCAGCAATATGCCGGTAATTGCAGGCAGCTGGATTTGTGGTGCGCGCGGACATGACTATGCCAAGGAAGTACTGCAGAATTTTGAGGTTAGTTTCACTAGAACTGTAATTTCTGATAAATACTTGCAAGTCTACCGGGTTTTTAGGTTATAGTTAAGCCAAAAGTCGGTGAGGTACTCACTGAATCGCTGAAGCTGAGACGCGGCAAGGCGGTAGAGTTGATCTGTCAGAGCGCATTTGAGGAACCACTCACCCATTGCGCATTCATCGATCCATTGGGACGTGTACATTTGGTGGGCACAGCGCACAGCATTAAAACCGCAGGGTAAGCCCCTTATCGATTTCTTTTTATTATTTGTATTTTTAACTCTGTCGAATTACAGTCATGTGAAATATTATGGACGCGGTTTACTTTGGGGTGATTGTGGCGCGCAGATTATGGAAACTAACAGCGATGATTATGGCATATGGAAATGTCAATTCGTCACATTCGCCGACAAACGCACTTCGATTTTTACACTGCGACTGCGTGAATCCGGTAGGCGGTCATACAAAAGAAAGCTTTAAGGTTTTTTCACACACAAATTCTTATTCGTTTCGGCAATCTCCTCTCTTGTTTTGCAATAGTTATTCCGGGTTCTGCAATCGGTCTCGGCGTTGGCATCACAATCATACTTGTACTTCTGTTGGGTTTATTACTCGCAACTGTGGTTTACCGTCGTCGAAATCGCACCGCACAGCACAATTTCACTTCATCCGATCCACTCGAGGCGAATTCGAGCAACTCTGTGGTAATGACTACGTTGGGATCCTTCGAACAGCCAAGTATTGAGCGGTTATAATGTACATATTTACTAAAACCATTACAAGTAATCTTTTGTTCCAATTATGGGTGGGTTTTAACTTAAGCTATATGAATTACTTAGGATTGTGTTCACTATGTATAATTAATTGGTTATTAAAAAAACTCAGGTTTTATAAAAAAAAAAACGGTGTTTAATAGTTATGGGACCATATCTTTGTGCTCTTTATTCTCTTCTTCATGCAAGAGTAGGAGCCGTTTTCGGCTGGTTACTGCGTGGGGCCTTTGCTATTTTAACAATACTTCTTTATAATGTTGGACTTTGATTTTCCTCGGAATTTAACCCAGATTTCACTGAAATGGAAGTAGCATTAAAATTAACTAATCATGACTTTTTATGTGGGCTTGGAACTTCTTCTTGTTTATTGTCGTAGATATCGCTTATGAGGTTATAGCTTCTTAATTTTTGCTGTTGGCGCCAATTGAAGATTGCAATGGTAGGCAGGTCCTACTCCACCTGGTTTTTCCAACGGAATGGAGGTCTTTCTCTTCATCTGCTTTGCCGGCTGGGTACTGCATCAAGTACTCTCAGAGCTGCACCGACATGACCTAGCTAGTATAGCCACTGTCGCTTATTTCGCTGAACTATGTAAATGTAAATGTTTTTTCTCTCGAATGTAGAGCCGACTCATCAGATGTCGTCATCGTCCATGCCTCTGCACTATATAGCAGGACGGGGATGATGTAGAATTTGGTCTTTGTTCTTCGAAAGAGGACTTTACTTCTTAATTGCCTATTTAATCCGAAGTAGCACCTGCTGGCAAGAGTTTTTCTGCGTTGGATTCCAAGGCTGATGTTGGCGTTAATGCCAAGATAGACTAAATTATCTACCATTTCGAAGTTATGACTGTCAACAGTGACATGGGAGGCAAAACGAGAGTTCGACGACTGTTCGTTTATTGACAGGAGATATTTTGCTTGCCCGCGTTCACTACTAGACCCATTTGTTTCGTTTCCTTATACAATCTGGAGATAGCAGTACTAACGGTGCGGTTGTAGAGGTCAATGATATCAATATCATCGACGTACACCAGGAGATGTATACTTTTATTTTTATTGGCTTGGAATTAGGCATTTATAAAAGGGAAATGAGATCCTTATTGTTTTTTAACAACTCAAAATAATGACTTGAAGGAATGTACCGCTTTATCCGGTCTCCTTGTGAATTTAAAGGAGTAATAAATCTTCGATTGCCATGGATTAGTGACTGAGTTATTCAAATAATGAGAAGCTGAAAAATGTATGCATTACTGGGATGAGCGCATGCCCGCCTATTCAAAAAATAGTATACATAACAAGTTCCAACAGTTGAGGTGGAATCAACCAGTTACATGCATATCGTAAGGTGGGTTCCGAGTTCCTTCAAAGTTTACGGTGCCTGATTTTAAATTAATAAATAAAAAACTTCATTCGTGCTAGCGTTTTTGCAAAAATGACCATCCCTCGGCTTTTATAGAATAAACAATAATTTTTTTATTTTTAATTTTTTTATTAAGAATTTCATAAATACATTATTTTAGTCGTCCAGCTCTAAAACAGTTGTAAACTGTTCGATTGGCGCGTAGGCACACGCAGCATATGTGGCTGCGCAGTCACCACCATTTCGACCGATGTGTTCCGCGTGTTTATAATCTTTGTCATTCGGGTTGCTGAGCTCATCATGTGAGCGTGAAGGACTGTGGAAAGCAGAAATAAAGCACTATTAAAGTAGAAATTATATAAAAGGGAGAGAAACTAATACGAAGGAATAAAAAATATTAGCTCTTAAAACCAACAATTAAAAAGAATAAAGTAACTTTAATTAAAATGAATAATATATTCAATAAAAAAATGAAAAGTAAAGCAGGAATAATAAACGTTTGATCAAATTTGACCAGGAGTGGCAAGAAAAGAAAGAATAAAGGAATGTTCTGCGGCAGATTTATGGTCCTTTGCGGATTGGCAACGGCGAATGCCGCAGTCGATGAAACGATGAGATGTACGAGATATACGATGACATTGAGATACTTCAGCGAGTTAAGAGATAGCGTCTACGTCGTCTGAATGGATGAAAACACTTCAGGTCTGAGAGTATTCGACGCAGGAAGATCTCCACTTCGTCAGAAAGACCAGGTATAGAGGGACCTGACTACACTTGGAATCTCCAATTGGTGCCAAATCGCGAAAAGGCAAAAAAGGCTTCTGAGCCAATGAAAACGTTTCATCCAATATAATAAGTATAAATATAAATATAATTTAGCGAATTTGGTATTTTCCGTTTGGGCTCATTTTTGAAGCGCCATCCACTAGATTGTTAGACAGTTTCGACTTCATATTCATAAACCCACTCCTCATCACTAGCTATGATGTGTTTGTTGAATGTAGGGTCAGTTATCAAAATTCTCTTTGACCTCTACTCGATGTGGTTTTCGCAAAAGAAAGGTCTTTCAGTGCGAGTTTATCATTGATAAGCTCCATAATCAAAAATATTAACTAAAATGTGTTGAGTCGATCCATAAGAAATGTGATTTTTGGGCACTGTGTCTTTAACTCTTTCGATGTTGTCGCATGAAGCAAGTTTTCGAAGACATCGCTTCATTGATTACTTTGCGCCTTTAATGTATTCGTGAGAAAGTAGACTCCTCAAAACAGTTCTGCAACATTTTAACCGATGTGGTTATGATTCCATCTCAGTATTATGTTTCCAAAAAACAAACACATGGCGATCAAACTTTACACGAAAATAAGATGTACGAAGCTATTAAATTTTTTTCGATTTTTTCGTGTAGCTTATATGGACCAGTCTGGGTAAAATATGATCAGATGCAATAAAAAGATAATATCTGTGGTGTGTCAATAAAAGCAAACTAAATCATAAAAGGCTAGATTCATTAATGCCTCTCAAGTTCTCTTACCTCAAAATAATATGCAATATCTCTCCTAAAATACCATTATCGTAATGTAACGGTACTGCCGCATGCTCACAAATGCTCCGCAGCATACACTCACGCCCCGCGAGTCCCGCTCTGTTTCGACAAAACGAAAAGAAGAAGAAAACACAATACATCATGAAAAAGCAATCTCAACAAATTGTATTATAAATGCGTTATATCAATAACTTCACACGAACCTATTCATTAAGATTTCCATGGCTTTGTAGATGAGCCAACGATAGGTCGCTGCCGTTTGCTGTTTGTTCTGCCAATTAGTGTGGACGCTGGCACTTTGCCGCTCGTTGCTCTTCTGCGCTTGCGTAATTGTGTTGTTGTAAAAATCATCATCGTCCCCAAAGCTGCGTCTGTTTACCGATTGTGGCGTCAATTTTGTTGGGCGCCATTCATCGGCCGTTTCGGGCAGAAAATATTCTGCTTTCAGCACATAACCAGAGGTGACCGATTCATAAGTTAGATCCTCAACGGGTATACCAATGCCGCCAATAAACTAGATCGTAATTATGGTGAGAATAACGGTGTAAAAGGTATAAGCACGTGCGCATGTGCACATAAATATTTGTTAGATTAAAGAGGGTAAGCGTAAAGTTATTTTTACGATTTTCCAGAGCAATTCTATTTCTACTACAAATTAGGCATTTTATTTTAGTTTGGTGAGTGTTTATTAGACTTATTAATAACAATTAGTAAGCGCAATGTATTATCGGCTTAATTTAGGTGCAATACCCATCTGAAGGCTTAATGAGGTTATACTTATAATATGGTTAGGTTTGCTTGTTTAGAAGTGATTGAAAAGTGATTTCAGCGAAGTTGAGGTTAATTTTTTAAAGAAAGTTAATTAATAACGGAAAGAACAGGTGATCCAAGTAAAGATACTTCTATCAAAAGGCTCTTTTTGACAGATCACGCGGGAGTCGTGTCAAGCTGTTATGTCATGTTATTTTTGTTCAGCATTTAATCATATGGGAATACTTAGGCCTGACCAACGTTTACAAATCGTTCAACTTTATTACGAAAGTTCTTTTTTTGTAAGTAATGTGTTTCACGCGCTTCCCACTTATGGTCAACATACTCAGCATACTTAGCGTACTACGCTCAAAAACCATCATCCATCGCGAGACCCTGCATTCATTATGGGATAATGGATAATGGATTCGATCGAATATGCTATGTCCACCACACAGTAAAATATATAATAGCCGTAGCTGAGAGTGTACACGAAGACCGTGGAGAGCCAATTCGGCACCATTCTCGGACTGATGTATGTGACGAATCACATGTTTATGACATGACATGCCAAGATCGAAAAAGTGCGCCAAGTTAGGTAGAAAGTGAAGGCTTTGCCAACAGTTTTCTACTTTTATAGGGGTGTCGTTTGTAGTTATTGTATTGATTTCAAAAGTTAGTACGGTCAATAAACAAAATTATCTGCAAGTTATGCGCAATCCACCAAGAACGCTAAGATTTGTGGAAGAATAAAGTTTGGCTTTTGCACCATGATAACGCTGCTGCTCAAGCCTCGTTGCTTGTGCGCGAATATTTGAGCAAAACAACATATTATTAGTGCTTGCGGCACCGTATTTCCCAGATCTGGCCCCTATGACTTATTTTGTTCCCAAAATTGAAGAGGGTCATAAAAGGACGACGCTACGATTGAGGAGAAGAAAATTGCATCGAAGGAGGAGCCAAACAAGGTCACAAAAAATTACTTTTTACGTGCTTTGAGGATTGGAAATACATACGTGCAGCACAACAATGGTTCGCTCGCTTCCTTTCTGGAAATTTCGATATGAAAGATGCACCTCGCTTGTCTCCGCTGAAGAAGTCAATAACTGGAAGAGCTCGGTTGGGAAGTTATGATGCATCCAACATATGGCTCTGACATTGCATCATCGGACTACCATTTGTTTTGGTCAATGCAGAACTCCCTTAATGGAGTAAAGTTGGCTTCAAGAGAAGCCTGTGAAAATTACTTGACGCAGTTTACCGCCGAAAAACCAGAAAAATTTTATCCTGATGGAATAATGTCTCTAGCGGAAAAATGGMAAAAAGTGGTGGACCAAAATGGTGTATAAATAAAAGAAAAAAAATTAGTTGAAGTTTGATTAGAA